CCCCCCCCAAACCAAACCACATATCCCAGTTCATGGAATGGAGCAGAATTGGATTGGCTTGCCTCCTGCCTTAAGAGTTAGAAGTATGATCTGAAAAAAAAAAAAACAACACCACCTCTAAGGGCCAGTTCCCCATACCTCCACAGGAATAATTACTGTTCACTCATCTTACTTCCTGATGAGGAAGTGTTAGATAAAAGGCAGCAAACTACATTTAAGTGCATATTCTTGCAGTCTTTGTGTAATAATAATTGCAGAAAATACTTGTCAGGTGTTAATAAGAGGCCTATAAAAGTATCTGACTGGAAGTAAGGAGTAAGGCTTCAAAATAGCTACAATAAAGCAAGAAGAGAAGTACCAAAACTACAGTATTACAAGGATCAAAGTGGAGGAGTGGTCCAGGATCTAATTTCAGTTGAAACTGGAACATAAGGACTGAGATACAGATTCTTTTGAATATCCTTCTTGGCACCTGTGTGAACCTACAAACATACTACATAATGTTTTTAAATACATGTGTCAGGACCAGATAGTAATGGCCAGGAGCCAAACACTGTTCTTTTCTCAGAAAGGACTGGAAAGCAAGTACGTGATACCTATCATGACAAGACCAAACCCCAGTCTTCCTATGGTTTATCTCACTTTAGCTGTTCACAGGTAGTGTGTATCTTCACCAGTGTCACTAAACCAGTCTGGAACAAGTGTGTAGTTAGTTTTGTGCTCCCGGCTGCATAAAATGCAGTTCTTGGGGTGTAGTCCATGCCTCGTCAAGCTGTAAGATACTGAGCAGGACAGAGTTTGAGCATCCATGGGAAACTCAACGTGGTACTTCCTTCTTCATTTAAGGAGCTCATTATGAACAAGTATACTTGTTTAGTCAAATCAAGGTGGTGGCTTCAGCTTTTGTGCTGAATTTCTTTGCTGCCTCTTTTCACTCAGTGGTCCAGCATTCATACCCAAGTAAATGCTTTTCCTGTTTTGTTTTAGGTGTATATGCATGGAAGTAACTTGCAGAGTCTGACTGAGCACTTCCCGGTCAGCATTCTCCCACAGGAATATGGTGGTGAGGAAGTCTCCATTGAAGAGCTGGCCAAGGAATGGACTGACTTTATAATGGCATCTGCAGATTATCTTCAGAACATTTCTCTGGTTGCCCGAGAATAACCTTATTACAGTATTATATCAGTTCTTGAATACTGGAAGTGGACATAAGTTTAATATGAAATCTTTCATGTAGACCTGTAATTATTGTAAATCAAACCAGTATGTCTTTGCAGGGCACTGAATATTATCTTGACTGCACTTCCATACTAACTGGAGTCTATTGGTACGTCTGAAGAGATTAATGAACTCTACATATTTGCAGCTGATTAACTTGTATGCCAAAAAACTGAATAGTGCATTGGATGTCGGAAATTGATACTGCTTGTGTTAAGTCTTTGGAGACAACTCATCTGTAATAATGTAGTCCATAACCTTAGGCTTGGTTCTTCAAGGCCAGGTTGGATGGGCCTTTGAGCAACCTGACCTAGTGGAAGGTGTCCCTGGGGCCCATGGCAGGGGGGTTGGAATTAGATGATCTTTAAGGTCCCTTCCAACCCAGACCGGTCTAAGATTCTAGATCTTAGCTTGTCTAGATAATAGGGTACAAAAAAGAACAGAATACGAATGGGGTGGACTAGTTTGTTGCCAAGTATGACTACAGGGCTAATCTACAGGGAGTGAAAAGAGGCTGCTTTTTGGATTAATTCTCAGGGAAAAGAGCTGTTTGTTAGCTGCTGTGAAATTGAAAATTAGTCAGCAATAGTGAGACATTTGTGTTAATCTTTGTGCTGCCTTTGCAGCTTCCCTTTTTGTGCTAATTAATACAGTAATCTCCCAGTTTTATAGAGGAAGAAAGGGACAACACCGTGTACCAGTTCTTCAAAGGTATGAATTGGGAGGAGGAACTGTAGAAGAGTCAAAACAACTTTGAAAATTCTGATTTTCTTTCTTCAAAGAGGTACTATCTATGGACAAGCTACAAGCAACTCCAATTATCATCACCTTTGATTCTTACTGTAGAGCACTACAGAGGTCAAGAGCTCTTGGCTGTTTACAGTATCTGTTTTGGAGGGTGAAGTTTATCCTTTGTGGATCTGAACTTTAGAAATATGTTGTGTGGTTTGAGGGTGCTTGTAGGTCACTTTGGACCTCAGCATTGGAGATGCTGGGTATCTTAATTTGATTTTCAAAAAAGTAATGAGCAACTTGCCAGTCTGTCTTGTGATGTGGAAGAAACAATTTTTAATTTCCATTGAGCCCTCCTCTTTATTTCTGTAGGGGTAATGGGAAAAAAAAATGTCTATACTTGCTGAGAACAGATCACTTTAAGGGACTTTATTCAGATGTAAACACTGCATGTGTGAAAGCTATCACACTACAATAGGAATAGCATCCTGCAATACCCAGTATTTACTAATCTAAAACACTGTTGTAGTTTTTACTCAGCTTTTTGTTAAAATCTTTGTTAGTACACCCACTACTAGAGTTCATTTACCCAAGTTTTAACTCTGCTTTGGAATAAGCCAGGGGGTCTTTGTGTAAGCACTATATATTTAAGCATTCCATATGAATCTTTTTATAAATGAATCCATAGCAAGTGCTTTGTTTCTCAGGTAGCTAGAAATGCTAACTTATTTCGGAATCTTTAGGACACTGGGATGTTATATTAATATATGTTTAGGGGAGAGAAATGAGACTGTTAAATCAGAAATGTCTTATTTTAGATTATCATTAATATTGCATTATTGCAAAAGCCATTGGAAGCTATTCTTAATTAGCAAGAGGAACATCTGTGAAGGGCTCATAGAGTACCTGTTGGTTGTAGTTTCTTCTGCTGTGCTAAGGTCAATGCCAGATAGAAAATTCTTTCAAAACTGATGAGGACTTTAAAATTATTTTTTTCTTCTAATTTACTCAAGTGCATTTTTCATTCTTCTCTTTCAAGATATCTTTGATATAAAGCCTAAATTTAAAGAAATAATTTTCAGATACATTTTTGTATTTTCATATGTTTCCTATACCTATCTTTTTTTTTCAGATTTAAACTGTTTTGTCATATAAAGGCTCCTTAAAAAGAGATGTTCAGTGAAGTGCTAATTCTTCTTTATAAGAAAATAAGTAGTCAGGCATCTGGCAATTCTTCAAGTGTGTAACTCAAGTTTCAAATCATTTATGAACTGGACAACTGAAGCTATTGTCTTAATTTTATGCTCCTTCAATTTTAATCCTTGAATGTAAATGACATAAAGGAATGAAGTATGTTTCAGTGAACTGGAAAATTTAGAGTTTTCCTATGAAAGCAATCTCTAATTATTACTGGCTTATGTAGCAGACACCTCAGTTGATTCCATATGTGTATGCACAAAATGCAGCTGGCTTTTTTTAAAAATCTTTATTTGGACTACACCAGCCTTATTAATATCAAGTTCTGAACATCTTAAAAAAAATATCCTGAATCTATTATTAAATGGTAATGTGTATGCATAACAAGAGTTAGAGCACTGAGTACAGTTATTTTTTCATGAACCGTTAATTTTGGATGTTTACATGTTATGTATAAGGTACAAACTCTATGTAAGGGACGATTGTAGTTGCTGCTAATAATAAGGACACAAGGTAGTTCGAATATTTGCATAATAAATAGAAGAGGTATTGGTGGGGGGTGGTGTGGCAATTTTGAGGTTCAGGGTCAACAAAACAGAAAAGTAAAATTCTGCGTGCATTATTCTCTGTAAGAATAGCAGGAGTGCCTCTAAAAAATAAACCTGTTCAATGATGGTGCAAATATAATGTACTACTGACTATAAGCACAATGTAATGCACAATGTTTTTAAAATTTTTTTACCTATTAACATCATTGAATCAATAAACTTTTTTTAGTTGCACCAGCCTCCTCCTCTGTCCCTTTTCGGTGATAGAAGCGTTCCCGGAGCGTTGAGAGGGGCCCGGGCGGCGGGCAGCCGCTCCCTCGGCCCGCCGGCGGGGCGCGGCC